ACTTTGGCAGTTGAGCACAGCATGGAACAGGGTGCTTCGCTCTGTTACATCATTTGGCCGATCAGATTTTGCAAAGAAATTTGCAAACAGCGAATTTAATTCGAAATTATCGGAATGCACACATCAACGTACGAATCAGCGCAAAATGTTCGCATGCTTCAATTTTCAACATCGCTCTCAAAGTAGTAGTCGCCGTCATTCCGTTCCACTTCTTCTACGCTGGATTTGATCGATTCAAGGTATGAGTCGATCTCCTGATACCGACGATTGGTACTTTTAGCCAGATCAGGGTCTAAAATGTAAAAGATCCTGTCAACACCGTCGCAAGACGCCTATGACCTTACTGGTCGTACAGACGAACGGATGTTTGCCACCGCAGTGGTGCAGACGGAGCTCGTAGCGCTTGAACAACGACTGGACTTTGGTTAAGGTCACACAGTCGATCGCCCTCAGAAACCAGTAGTTGACGTTCAGGAAGGTGCTGAAAATAAGGCAATCAATCGCTGGCGCTTACGCTACCGGCTACCGGTGTCGTCGCCTACGTCTTGCCACGTTTCGGTTCGTGGTAATCACCTCGGCGATGCTCACTCGTGCCGGCCTGTTTCAAACCTATCCAGGTTGCGGACTTGGTAGGTAGAAGGCCGAGAACTTTATCCTTGAAATACACATGCATCGCATACTGTAAGGATGATGGCACCGCCGTTTGGCATACCAGTGTCCGTTGGTCGTGCACGTACAGCAGGTGGGAGCCCAGTCGCCTGCAGTAATTCGACGCCTCGTAGAACGACGCGTTTCTGTTCACCAGTACGTCCTTCGAAGGCAACGCTGCTGTCGGCGCATTGTGATGAGGAAAACCCCTCTGTCTTGCTGGAGGTGTGGCTGGTCCTCGGTGCACGTTCGGTGGCGGCAAATAATCTTTGCGAGCAATGAAAGGCTTCTTTTTAACGACTGCATGAGGATACAGAATCAGCTCTTCTCTGTTCATAACCGGCAGTCGGTC